TTTAATGCAGAAGCTCCCACCAGCTTTTCAATCGCTGATTCATCAGGCCATTGATTAACCCATGGCAACGAAAAACAAAAAAACGTTCTTACTGTAGGGCATACTTACATTTCACTGGGTTATACTGACTGCATAATCAGGTTCGGTCATTGTTGCATTTAAATTTCTGTTGAACCACAAGAATTTAAAACACAGTGTGGAGCTATACAGTTCCGTCCTTAAGAGCCAGAAAAACAAGATTCCCGTTCACTCAATTCTCCATGCTGACTTGGAAGGCAATAGGACACGTAAAGCAGGAACCACAGGGAAAAACAGGGGATTCGCCAAATGCTTTAATACAGCATAACTTCTATCAAGCATTTGCCTTAACTGTACACTGGCATTGGAACACTGAAGTGTGAAACAGCTCAGGTGGATAAAAAAATTGTGTCAGTGATTGTGCACAAATGTGGAGGTGGTTACGATGGTGAGAGAGAGAGAGGATCAGCAAAGCTGGAGTTAACGAAGAAGAAGTGGTTTATTGAGTCATAAACACGTTAGATAACGGGAGCAAGCTCAAAATAACTCCTGTGCCGCATGTCGCGTAAAATTAACCACTACAGCAGAGTGTGGTTTTAGGAGGAGCATGTCTTGTCATCAGTTGTCCTAAAAAAGGAAAAAGTTTGTGTTCTCAAGAGCTAGGTTTGTTTCAAATTGCCAACTTCATTTATTTTGAAACCATATTGTCGTTGATAATACATGAACAACCAGATTCAATTTATTGTAGATTTCAAGACATACAAATAAGGCGTTACTCAATGTATTTAACTCAAACTTTTCGCGTAACTTTTCGTGGTTTTAGCTCTATGGACCTCATTTTGCATGCCAGATACTTTGTAGTATTTAAGGAATGCAGTCGATAGCATTAATGACGTTTTACAACCACTGACTTTGGGTTGTGCATCCAGGTAGTAGCAAACTGCGCACACTAAGGACTTAATTCTATCGATTTGGGCTACCATTTGTCGTTTGTAATTGAATGGATTTCCTATAGGGCCAAGGTTCTGATCAGTAATTCTTGTAAAAATGACTGGTTAAAATGTAACGCGTGTACTGAACGATATTTGATAGGTCCAATAATTTAGAAAATGCTTATGTCTGTCCTAATTACACTTTCTAAGAGTGATGCAAATGAAATAACGCAAAACCTTGACACAGAAATGGGTTTAGAAAGAAGTATTTAATTTTGATACTACAAGTTGTGAGGCTTACGTTTTATTTTCGGTAGACAGAATTCTAATTCAATATGAGGGCTAAATCGATATTTGAATATATTTGGTAACTTAGTAATATTCTAATGAAATCAATGGCCCTTTTATCGGTTTCATTAAGTTTCTGGTAGTGACATTGTGTGTTTGCTCAGCTTGATAGGCAGTGCCTCCATTATGGTAATGACTTACTACTAAGATAAAGGCGACTTACAAATGTGATGGGTTTTTGTCAACACACTGCATGGTCTCGCTTGTCGTCAATTCAAATATTGATACGCGGTCGTCTTTTTCGGGTGAGTACCCTCGTACAGGCACGTCAAAGTCGCTTGACCAACGGTGCACACTGGCAGCACTAAAGTATTCGCACAAGTTGTAATTTCAATACGCACATTAAGCGTGGTACTAACATCGCGCTTTTAGGCACAACCCAGCCCAAATACAGAATTAAATGTTTGCGGAATTAAATGGTATGCAAACGTCTATGTAATCAAGGTCCAATTTGCATGAATTGCATAGGTGCAAGAAATTGCTTGGAGGTATCGTAATGGTTATGCTTGTTCCTCTGCGTAGTTTAACCTGCACCGACCTCGAGACATAATTCCTCAATCTAATTCACTCTCCGAGTTAAACAGTGGGAAGTTCCGAACGAAGGTGGATTGAAATCGTGAAAGTTTTAATGTCGATTCGTGTTCGACATTAGGACCAATAACTCAACTACCCACAGTTATGCTTAGAAACATGACTTCAGCCTCACTGTGAATTGAAAGTTCCTGTCCATCTATCACGCCGCTTTAGTTCCCGAATGGAAAGCTTCATGGCTTTGTGAAAGGCGCCAGTTAAAAGTTACACACTGTGTGTGGCCACTTCTGTTGACATCTTTTTTTTCACGTTGATTGCCATCATGGCGATCGCACTAATGCGCAGCAGTAACACAGTTAACGGATTCAAGTTAGATTGGAGGTGCAAACTTGCCATGAATACGGTCGCATGGAGGAAGCGTCTAGCTTCGCCCGCCACCTGTCGGTCCAGAGATTGTCAAAGAGTCCTGTGGGTGAGTATTTAGCGGTGGTTTGTGGGCACGAGGTCTCATGGCCACAGATACTGCGGTAAAACGTCAAATCTTGAGAGAATTCGGGATTTCTCCGTTGCGATGGCAACAGTCCTGAAGCAGCACCAGCTGCAGACGACTCGAGTCTGACCAAATTTAGCGTAGAAAATACGTGATCTGTTAACTACAAGTAGGTTCAGACGGCCAGGTACCTGGTACATTTCTTGAACTGCTTAAGAAGTGACTTGATGGGCCCAACTTCCTGCTAAGATAAATTTCTACACAGCACATCAATCTTAGTGTGATCTTCAAAGAATCATTTTTTAAACTAAAATCTATACTTTTCAGTAGGGGTTGTGGATTAAACGATTATTTGCATTCAGTTTGTACGTTTTCATTCATCAAGAACTCGATTTCACCATGTGTTTTAAAGGCAGACACAGAGAAACGTGTTTTAAAAGTATGTAGTTGATAGCGGTGTGGAATATTTGTCAATTTCTAGGAATGCATGAGCCTAGCAAACAGGCCGCAATAAGTTTTGAGGCGTCCGATTTGTGACACACGACCTGTGTCACAAATCGGCATTTCTTATTGAGCATTTTATCCGGCTCGTTATGGATATTTCTGCAACACAGCAGTACAAATTAATTGGTGGTAAAGTTCCCTTACTTTACAAATCAATCCGCATTTCTCTTTACACAGACAATAATTTTTTGCCCAGCACTTAAATTGTGTCTTTTAGGGAAATCAACCGAAACAATTTACCGACAGAACGACTTGTAAAAATTTCTTTGAAGAACTAAACTGACCATCTTAAAAGGTGTACGATCTGTATCAAGACGACAGACTACATAGCTTAAAAACATAAAAGTACAAATTAAGAGCTAAAAAACAATCAACAAAAAGGAGAGAGCAAGAAGAATTGGTAAATTTGAATCGACACTTGTGCACTAAAGTGCATCTTAAAGTTACAATACCGCGATGTTAAGTAAAATTCAGTAACAAATTCGGAAGGCATCACATTTATTTTGTTTGCTGAACCATTGTAGTCCTCATTCTGCATTTGCACTACTTAAGGCTGAACTATATTTGTCATTTACTTCTTACTATAACTTATAAAGTAGCCATTTGTATTTACAATTTTTCACGATGACGACATTTCCTAAAATCAAGTTTGTGCGAAAGCAATGGTTGGTTCAATATATGGTCAGTCGTGACCGAGATAATATTTATTTGTGATCAAAAACCCATTTGAGAGGCGTATATTTTTTTAATGTGACATCTCAAACTATAGAAGGGGACAAAACGTTTTAGCAAAACTAATCTGACATAACAGGAAACTCAAAAATCTAGCCAATCGAATTGCTTGGATGATAAATTCGTTTTCTGGGTCAGCATGAAGTTTGCTAGAAGCAGCAACAGACAGAACCATTAACATGGCTTGAGAGATTTGTGTGAATGTGTTGAGCAAACGTGTCTAGGTCAGAGGAACCAAATTGACCCACTTGCCTTTTGCTGTTCAGGCTGGCGCCAGAAACCAAAGGATTCTCAGTTATTGATGTCCTGGTAATTTGGGTATCATTGTTGGATGATAATGATGGTGGTGAAAATGCCAAATCCTCTCCCAAGTGCGAAATTTGGTCAAAAACGTCGCTGTGAGTTGCGGCTCCAGGCTGGTGAGGCAGCAGCCCTAAAATACCGTCGCACCTTCTGCACTTACTAATGAGTAGAGCAATAAAAACAGAGACCGAAGCTGACTTCTGATATTTTCGAGACAAAATCACAGGGTACAAAATTAGTAGGTATGCTAAGTAAACAATACTATCGGTTTTTCTTTTGCGATAAAACGTGAATGCACCAACATAAACCAAAATCCGAAACCAATGTCTCATAATTTCAGGCTTCACCACACCTATTTAGATTTGGGAATCTAACCATAACTGGAGACTACATAGAAATTTGTGGAAGGATCCAAAAGTGTAATTGTGTGTTCTTATCTGCGTAGGCTGTATTGCTGGTGAATCAGACTTCATTAAAATTACCATTTGACAATTGTCAGGCAAAAACAAATTACTTTGAAGACATCATTTAACAGTTTCGCACCAAGAAAAGAAAGTTGCGTTAAGAACAAAAATTTGGAAATCAAGGATTACAAATTCCTTCAGCCTGTTTAAAATACACTACATTTACTACGTGCTGCAAAATTTACACAACCGAATGTGGCTACTTTCTGCCATCACTAAGATCACTGCAGTTTCATGCAAGAGAACGCAATCATTAGTAGAAAGAGCTGGGTGGGTCATGACAACATGGAGAGATTAAAACGTTAATTGACTGAAAGCAAGTTGGCTTGTCTTTTAACCTAAAAGGATCTGCAGTCTGAGTGAGTCATCACTTGCCTAAATCTACTTGGTAGTTTTTTATTTGTTAAAAGATCCGTATTCATGGTTAAGATTGATTTGTGTGATATGACTTTTACCTAGTCTGCAGTACGCAGAGCTGTAAAAAGTGCAATGTCTCAAAAACCTGTAAATAATGGGGGTGACAGTAAAGTTAATTAAAAACACACGGCCACATTAATAAATAGACAGGGCGAATTAGAAGTAACTGGGGTTACGTGGAATGCTACAATAAAATTATTTCTCAATCTGACCACGGAAAGACTTGGCTAGAGTGCGTCCTTTCTAATTCTTGGAGACTTTTTAGGGAACAGCTAGAACACCGTGTTTGATCCAACCTGTTGGAGAATTGGAACAAAGGTCTGAATGACGGATGAAGGTTTCCGCATTGTCCAAGGCAACACCTGACTGCAGAGAGGGAAAAAATGGCGAGTGCCTTTGGCCGTCGTCGGCGCAAGGTGCCACGGCGCGGCCCAGAATGGGATAGCGAAGCCGCTGTCGCGTTGTCGTTGCCTTCTTAGAAGGCGAGACGCGGGGATTGAGCCTGGGGGAGGTTGGGACTTCTGCTGGGCATGGAGTCTGCTTTGCGTCGAGGTCACGCACATGTCGACCTGATGCGCAAATTCAAGTAATTGAGGTGCATAAGGCATTGCTGTGTTTTGACACCTGGGCCAAGCTTCTCTGTTACCTTTTGTCGGCAAAACAGCATTCAATTTGTTGTATGAATGAATTCATGCTGCCAACCTTAGGATTGACTTGTATGAACTGTAGCAAATTTCACAAAATTGCTGATTATACGTTTTAAACTACTTAATCACTGTTCTAGACGCGTTTGCGCTCTCTTCGCTTTTTAGACACTGCTGTAATAATTTGTAATGCAGAACAACAACCCAGCAGAAAAACATTAAGTGAAACGACGAGTGTGTTTATTTCCTGACCAGCAAATTTGCACGCGGTACAACTTACACAGGAACACTTCCTGCAGGATGGTGGTATTCCAGCACTTTCAGGTTTTAAACACTGTTTTGATAATTTAAAAATATACGAACAAAACGCAGTTAAAACCTTAGTTTTTTGACTCTATGTAATAAATAGGAACATTGGAATGCTAACAAGCCGGTGGTAAATGTGCGTTGGTAATAACGCAAAAGTGCATTTACACACTAATTTTACAATTTACAATTATTTAAGCTATTTCAATAATTTGCTGTTACAACCCCTAGTTTCTTACTGATAAGAACATGAAAGAATCCCAGATGTGCGATGGATTTTTGTTGATTCACGTCTGCTAACCCGGCTGTCGCAGCCTCAGACACACTACGACGTGGCAGTCCGTGGCGCGGAGCCGTCTGCTCGTGCACTCCTGCGCATGCACTGCCACTACCCGCTTTATCCCGCTGACCACTCAGACACTTGTACGTAAACTAGTTCATCCGAATTGCAGTAGGCATGCGCAACTGTGGCAAACACATCAACTTGGTTGAGCTATCTGGTATTCTTCATCTTCGAGGGTATGAGGGGAGCATAATCGGATTAAATTTAGAGCAGCGGCCCCGGGCCTTCAACAGGTGGTAAAACCGATGTGCTGTCCCTCAACAGAGGTAGTTCTAAGGCAGGTACAATGCTTATTAAAAAAACGAATTTTGTAGAACACCATAATTACCAATTCTTAGTCACAAATTGCGATGCTCAGGTCAACCTACCGCGAAGGCGTGATATTGTTCTTAAGTTACCAAGAACGCTGTAGAGGGAGTTCACGTTGGCTTCGGTTGTTTTCAGAATTAACAATTGCTATAGAAAAAGAAAAAGCAAAAATTGTTTTTTATTGAATTCAAGACCAAAGTGCATTAAATGCAGAATCAGCTAAGATTATAAGTACAAAGTGCAGACCTTAGTGAACGATGTGCCATGCTATTCACAGTTTGGGCCTAAAACTTTAGGCAAATAATGATTTAAAATACTGAAACTTTGTTAGATTTCAAGATATGACTAGTGGAAGCTGGCTGTTGAATCAGAATAAGTTAGACCCCTGCTGTTACTTGGGTGACTTCAGAGAAATCATCTTATGGATTTCTTAAGTGATGAAAGTCTATTCATTTCGATTCAAGGGGTGTTTTGTCCACACCAACCGGTTAGAATCCCATTATACCCCAATCACATACGAACGAACTCGTGACAGCTTACCTCGGAATGCTAAAAAAATTTGTTACTTTGTGATAAAGTACACAAAATGGGCCACCCACTACGAATGTACCGTTCTTTGGCATTCACTGAGGACCCTTTATTATGTGCTTGGAGAACAGAAAAGGGAAATTGGTTTCTCTCTGGTCTTCCACAGTCTCAACCACCAACACTTCCTGTGTTAATGCTTGACGCAAACATCCCTACAGCAATAAGCACCCGGATGAATAAATTAAAATCACTTTTCGCATCTTTTACTAAGCTATCATTCAAAATTCGATGTGGCAAGGTAATACTCACTCGGAAGGATTGTCGGGACTTTGTGCGAAGGGAGACGCTGACGTCGTGGGAGGTTTTGAAGCTGCGAAAGTCCAATCGCGATAACAACAAGCCCTCTTCGTTAGTAATTTCAGCGATCAAGGTAACTGGAAGTAAGGTCTGCAAAAAGGCATTAAATCAAATTATACTTGGTTATGATTTTAGGCAAATACAGGTTGACTCAATTGGACATAAGGGTTCGGTTATAGCTTTGTTAATTATGATAACGAACACTGGTTATCTTAGACATCGCATTTCAAGAGGATAATGGAGGGGTGTGAGGAGAACATAATAAAACCGATTCTTTATAAAACTGCAAAGATAAAGGCTTGCCTCCAAATTGTTCCACCTTACCGGGCAGCAACAACTATTGACTCCTCGTGTTGAATAAAATACGTTACCTTAATTCAGTTTCAAGGCGCCTTCACGATCAAAGTTTAGTAGAGGCTATCATCCGCCTCTCGACAGCCAATAACACGCTTTATTCGCTGACGCGAAAGAGTAATTTGTTGTTGATAAATAAGCGGACTTGCTGCTCTCATCCCTTCTGATTGAACAAGTATTTTTTGTTTCATTTGCGCAAATGCCAAAAATCAACATTTTTTTCACTGTAAATGTTTGAAATGACGCCAAATCCATACACTTTTGCTCTTTACTAACACCTGAAGGTTATATGATGTTCAAGTCATTAGCATAAGTGAGGGTGTTTGGCTTTCACTTTTGGATTGACCATTTCTACATTCCTTTTTACAGCAATTCCAACGCATAAGTAAAGCGAAAACAAGTTGCACGGTGGGGTAAAGCATGGTATCCAAACACGAATGTAAACTGAGTCAGTGAAAAAAAACATGTAAATTGAGAATATGCTGGTTCACTGGAATCAAAGGCACCCCGAGATCATAATTGAACAGGTCTAAACACCCGGATAAAGGAATAAATTTCAACTTGAGTAGTCCAATAAATTTATTGGCAATTAATTTGTGATTAGCTAAAAATGTTTGGTAAATAATCGGTTCCAACTGTAAAGAGAAAACTGGGCACTTTGACACTTTGAAAGGCGAATTAAATCCATACACAGTCAAATTGTTGATTTTTTTTTCAGAAAATAATGTTACTCTAAGTTACATCGATAATTTTGCGAAAGTAATGTTCAGCGAAAAATAAAAAGAAGAAAAGGTCGGTACAGATAATTCTATGCAAACGCTGCTAGATAGTAATCAAATAAACCAACGTAGAAGCGGTCTACCCACAGCCAGAAGACAACATTCGCAAAATTTTCATATTTATTTCCCAAAACGATGTGATTATTCTTCACAAAACATGACGCAATCCCTTAGGGGGTGCATCTAACTGGATCACCGTATGGCAATCTTCTACATATTACAGCTTTGAGTAGACATTGTCCACACCTACTTAAATTTACCCAGGATCCTTTACAGAAAAGCTTTTAATGGCGTTCACATAAGACAAAAGCTTAAACAGGCGGCAGCAATGCAAGAAGGAGTTTGGTGCATTCCTCCCGATTTGTATCTGCTTTAAAAAGATTATGTAATTATTCATCCCAATTTTTCATAATAAGGAATTTTTTTTTGATCCAAGTTTGAGCGGAGCCCAACATTTTGGTCTCTTTTACGTGATTGCGATATCTGAATTGAAAACCACATATCGCTCTAAACCAAGCCAAATCTAACCGAAGATGCAAGGTTTAAAATAATGCACCATATGTCGCATATCAACAGCTAGTGAATTTAGTTCCTGGTTTAATCGTTTTAATTTAATTGCCGTTATCTAAAAGGCTGCTTAAACTTAACGTGATTCCACGTTACCATAATAGTTTGGCGTGCAAGAAAGCATTCGCTGACGCTGCCGGAAATGGTGACCATTGTTCGGGCTTCAGGTCGCTGGTAGCTTGACAATGCGGACGGCTCCATTGGCGAAGGACAGAGCCGGGGCGCGTAGAACCCACTTCGGCGCTGCAGCGGTGAGAGCGGCGCGGCCGAGAGGTGCTCTTGAGAGAAGCGAACCCGCGCCCCTGTGGTCTCATACAGGACCTCGGCCAGTCCGCGGGGAGCCGTGTGGCTGAGAAGGGCCGCCTGGTGCTTGGGCTCGACATCGAGTGTCATCCAGACGTTTGCTTGACCCTAAAAGGAAGTGCTGCAAACATCGACGCTGTGGCAAGGTACGATGAAAGACATGGGTGCTTAGACAATCCAACTTTGTATACACACATTCTAAATAGGTATTCACAGTATGTAAAGCTTGATTCTTGGTGCCAGTACTAGCTGCCTGCTGTTACACATCAGATATTCTCTTTAGTACAAATGGTGGAACAAGAATTTAATCTTTGGTTGCATCAACATGGAAAATCTCCACAATAGTGATTTTATTTACGACCGAGGGAAGAATGTTCCTGAAGTACTAAAAAAATTATTATGTTCGCACTTTGATACCATTGGCTGTTTTTTTGGCAACTTGAAAAATTATTCTAGAAGTGATCAAAACATGCAATGTGAAACACTTGTAAACTTTAACCACTGGAGGATATTAGAAGAGGATGGCTTCGTTTTACAAAAATGCTAGCAACACGAATAGTTTCACCATCCCGTAATGCATTGTTTCATTCAAAGCCTTTTTATTAACTCTATCAAAAAGAGACAAAATCATTGGCAGTGGCTGAGTACTGTTACCAATCTCGCGAGGTCTGCAAACACACTTTTAGGCACCATTAGACTGACTGTTCATTTTAAAATACGTTGAACAGTTCAGTTACAGCAGTAGAGGTATTGTCGTGTTACGATGGCAGCAATTGGTTGCTGATTGCCGATTTTGTAGAATTTACATATATTTGTTACTGAACTATTGAGTTCAGTTAAAGCATAACATAATTTATAAGCATTCTGCTGTTAACATTTCTGCGCCGTTCAAGTGCACCATGGCTTTAACCCGACTTGGACATAAGCGTGGCCACTTCGCGAATTCTTTTAAGCACCGATTTTGAAAATTGACCTGAATTTTCAGTTCAGCGGGCCCGTGACTGATGGCACAGAAATACTCTTTCGGTATTTGGTCAGACTTGTACCCGAATACTGCGAAAAAAGCTTGGTAAGCATAATTATTTGTATAATTGAAAGGTCCGTTGGCATTAGACCAATATAATATCAGCCGTTTCAACTACTTGCTATTGCTTAAATTGGTAAAAAATTATTAAACTTGCAAATCACTGTTGCATGATAGGTAAGACCTAACACACTGTCGGTAAATGCAAATATTACATTTAAGTAAACAACTTCTCAATAAACTAACGAATTGGTTCAAAGTTAGAGACGATGAAATCTGAAACAAGCATTAAAAATCTTGACGGAGTTTCGTAGACTTGTTAGCAATTGGGTCCTACAACCAAAGACAAAATATACTCACCGCAGACCGACCAAAGTGGTGTTCTAGTAAAACCTTTGTGGCCTCCATGACTTGCTGCGAAAACGCCGCAAGTCCACGAACGTTAACAATGATTGTGTTTGAGGATGAGAAATAATTGTCCTGGGTGCAGTTCTGGAAAATCAAATCACTCAAGGGGAAGGCATAGAAGTGTCGATAACTGATCTCAACTGAAAACTTTGTCTCCAGGAGTTGCACAACATAAGAGGTCCGGTAGAATGTCAGGGCGTTGGGTGAGGCGTTCCGGATGGTGAAGATGTACACCAATGGTAACATTTGCTACAACACAAAATGTTTGCACATTCGGTGAGTTTAGAACTGAAGATATGCATATTTTTTGACAATTTCTTATGACCAACTGGTAACATGTACCATGTAGATTTTTATTGCAACTTCGCACAAACGAAGTACTTAAACTAAATTATAGTAAGAAAAACATGGTTTTTTACGACAAAGTGACTGGAAGGATTGGCTCTAAAAGTACCTTCTCATACTGGTTGGAACATTCATCGCGCTATTCTTCGCTTATCCGTTGTTTAAATCGGAATCCTTATTGGGCGCCACTAACAACTTACCCAATGACGGGCGATGCTCATAATGAACGCTATCTGAATTTGCCCACAGCGATTGCATATGTGATGCTTACAGTTACTGCTTAGCATTTGCTATTTACCCTGTTTGTTGTAATTACTATTTACTGTTTAGAATAACATGTCTACATCTATGAAAATTCCAACTCGTGTTTTTAAGGCTGTTGTAAAGTTTAATGTTTACGCAATAAATTTACCAGAGGATGAGAATAAGCCTAATAGTTAACTCAGTGCACGCATTTCGACGGAAATGTTTATCAAATGGTGCAATATTTTATTATGCGCACAATAATTGGAGTAGTTAACAAGCAGAACATCAACGTTTCTGAATACCTAAGTGGATTTTTAATTAAAGGTTCGTAGTTTTAGTTAAGTGATATAGTCTGCCCATTTACAAAAACAATTTTGATACGAATAGTATTTCTGTGTGAATGCAGCCACCTTTAAGGCTACATTTCAGTTCGATATTTTTGAGATGCCCTACTGACGGTATCATATGGGAAACCGCTTTACTCTAACCTAACAAACACTTATATGGACCCTACTTCATGGAAGGGTGGTATTTAGTGACTGAAATTGGACATTCATAAACCATCCCCCACATTAATAGTAATCCATAAAACCGGGCATGGTAGGCGGAAAAACTAGATCAACTTACTTAACAACCACCTAACTTGGGTGACTGCAATTGCTATACTATTCAAAGTGGGTGGTGAAGGGTGTTGTAAAAGAGTGGGCACGAAGACAATCGCGGAAAACTGCAACTCACCCTGATGCATCTTCGTGCGCGCTCAACGTCAAGTGGTCGACCAGAAATCGATACCTGATTGCTCTTTTCAAGGACATTGGGCGAACGATTTGAGTCTGGAAAGTGGATATGACATTGTGTGTCTAACATCATGGCTTTAACACAGTGCCCTCCTTTGCCAATCAAGTGGCTGTGCTCGGTGTGGGCCACATCCACCTTCATGGTCACCCGCTCTTCAAATGTCTCGGCGGCCACCTGGAATATTGTATGGGGAATTAAAAAGGCGCATTTCCTTTCGATATAATAGTAATTTATGGGATTCTGTTTAAAGGCACCGACATACAATAGATAGAGATCATTGAAATGATCATTAGGGATAACACTTGTTAGGTCTCACGGCAACTAAATGCTCTGAAAACGGGAATGATATTTTACAGAATGATATTTTACTACAGAATGATATTTTACTCTAAATTAGCAAAAAATTGCTTTCCATTATCCACAACCTACTTCTATGCACGTCTGTAGTATTTGCCCTTGCATTTATCTGAAAAATGGGACAAGCATCAAAATATCCAGCTACTAATACGGCAAATATAGCGTTATTACGTTTGATTCAATGAATCCTCCCGAAATTCCTGACGACTTGAGGCTTTCCAAGTTGGTTTTTACTAAAAGTAAAAAAGTAAAAAGCATACTTGACAGAAATAAAAAAAAAATATGGACAACGAATGTAGGTCTCACGGTTCATTCTCGACATTCCGAAAGAACTTTAGGTGCTGATAAGTATTTGGTTTGCAGCTTGAAGCCCAGCTAGTAAAAAGCACCCCTTTCATGTATACCGAACCTGTCAGGAAAGCGTATTAAAGTATGTAAATTGCTGTTATCTTTCTAGTGAGAAATGTGTGTTTTCGTTGCGGAATACGAAATGCCTTTTAGAGTATAATCTATCCCATTTAGACATTGGGGGACCTCAACGTTGCCTAAATCCTACAGACTTAGCAAGTCTTTTAATGCCCTTTAGAATTAAATGCTAGTGATCGCAAGGCACGCCACGACCACATCAAAACAGGACTGCAGAGACACCGTGAGAAAGTGCGTAGTCTGGTACTGGCGTGATGAGTCAAAACTCCTCGCCTAATTACCTCTGCCTGCCTTCGGTTAATTTCAAACACTAATTGTTTAAATCAAGAGCCGATGTTGGAGGCGACGGCCCAGCGTGCATGGCATCGTTCCAATCTGATCAGTTGGTTATCTAAATACAGCCGACCTGCTTCGGATAGGGTTCGTCTGGGGTTCACGTTATTTTTTGCAATCGAAATTTGGTAAATGCACTGTTTCACATTGTTAGGAAACGTTTAATCCATGTTGGCGATAACGACCAGCTGGTGAGATGAAGCTCTCACAGCCATGGTCTGTTAAAAAAATTTTGCAATTTCAGTTGGGGGATAATTGTGGGAATCTGTATGGATTAGTGCGTTTTAAGTTACGCCAAAGGGTGTGCAATACCAAAACGGACCATTTTTATCATCGGTCCATTGGGAACAGCTAATAAAGCCAGCCCGTTGCAGCCTCTGCCCAATGTTTTTTCTAAAAGCTATGATGCAAAAAATTATAAATAACGAGAAAACCAAAGACGCTTCCAACTTACCGGGTTGTCCAGGCATTTTATGTGACAGGTTTCAGCTTCAGTACCATTAGCAAACGAATACCAAATAATCCAGATTTAACGCTGCCACATGTAAACACCTGACCGTACCCTTAAAAAGTGACGTATAGAATGGTCTTTTTGCCATGGCATATCGATCCCACTTCTCTCACCCCCTAACCTCCCATTTTAATTCTGCTCGGTATGGCGTGCACCAACATATCGATTTTGAACCCCCACAGTCATTCGCATGCCCAGCAAGCGGTTGCATTTGTGCACATCAAACGCCGCCAGAACTGTCGTGTGCTTTGAGAACCGTATAAAATTTGTGAAAATCATGATAGCCCGTAATTAGTTGTAATTCCTAGGTCACTTTAAATCTTTAGATCACTTTAATAAAACCGGTCACTTTTGAAATGGACAAATAGCAATCCATGGATAATTACATTGTCATTCTACACTTCTTTCAAATAGTGAAGCAAACTGCACGTTCATTGTATATTTAATAAAAGCAATTGCAAATTAAAGAACAAATAAATAAAAGTTGAACAAAGAAATATACACTTTTAAAGGGTAAATTACAGCATGGAATTAAAAGCGAACATTTCAATATTCGCAAAATTCCTTATTACTTAAATCTTGTGTTTGGACGTAAAGATAAAAACTACACTTATGGCTATACTGCTCAAATTAAAAACGAATTTAGCTAAATCAGTAACTATCGTTTTTACTCAAACTGTAAGTAACTACAGCTCAAGGTGTAGTAAATTCGACTCAAAGATATAAAACTTCAGCATCTTTTTAGCCGGTATGGGCGGAGTATGGTAATTAAACTACTGAGCCGTGCAATTTGGAACACAATTAATATAATCAACGTTGAGTACCGAATTCGTAAATTGTATCTTTGAAAGGTAATAGGTTACACCAGTTAAGCAGTGTTAGATAAGCCAAAAATTAATTTGTGCAAATTTATTTGAAGTGGCTTTATTTTGACAGTCTGAATCAGTTCTGAGCCTTGAAGAATTTTGAACCCAAAAGAATGCTATCGGATGCACAAAATGGCAGAAGTCAAAAACGGAAATGTCTAGAAAAAGGAATTGCGGATGTGTTGTATTTAACCATGCCAAAAGTTGCATGATAGGTGACCGTTGTTTGAGTAGGAAGTTTTTTTGTTTCGCATGCGACCTAAATTAGCTTCATTCTCTAGCTAACAATTAGCTCATGATGTAATTAATGTTAGTTTTCAAGAGTGATTTAAGTATTAGAGTTGTCGTTGTTTAGGGTGGACAAACAGTTGTAGGTATACGTATCTAGGTTTCAGTTATAAATAAAGTAAAATAGCATTGTAACCAAGGATGTTTAACTAGCTATTCCACATTTGGGACGCAGGTTTTTCAAACATCACACCAAAATAACATATGTTTGCAACAAACTTGCTCATTTGAAACCCTGATATCATTTAAAGCTCAGATTTTTTCGCTTTTTATCGTTAAATATAATCAAGATAAGTGTGACCTTAAAAAGTAGTTTAACTCAGGTCTAATGTAAATTTAGGTGCGAACTTATTCAAAGAAAGCCCTCATTAGTGCATTTGAAAACATATCAAACGTCAAAGTGCTGCAGTATTGTAAATCTATAACTCGGAATAACTTATATTTACCTTATGCTAACCCATATATGTTCACGATATCAATAATATAAATATAGATCAAACTCACAAAGTGGGGCCGGTTGATGATTTTCTAGTTGGTAGAACAGTGGACTCATGGTAGTCAGCATTGTAAAATGGAAACTTTCAGACGGCAAGGCGGGATAGTGAGATCGTATATTGGGATTATACGTGTGCAGCTTTGCTGTCTGTATATAAAAATGAGCTTTTGGCCTTGTTTGACGACATTGTGCGATGACTCACACTGCGCTGAGATGAGGCACGTGTGCTTATACATATTGATTATTTACCCGCATTTCGTGTGCTGGGATAACCAAAAATCGATAACAGCGGTGGTGGCTATAAGGCCTGTCCAAAAAGCCTGCCACATATGCGCAAACCTTTGCATTTCTCTGTCGAAATGCACTCATTTCTCCTGTTTTGCAACCGATCAATCAGCCCACTTGTTGAATAGCATCATGTAGTGGTAGTAGTAGTTGCACAACATTCTCAAATACTGTTATGGTGTGAAATTGCCACAGTTTTAGACTAAATAAGAAAAATAATGCCAATGATTGAAATATATTTAGTAAAATTGACATCCGTTTCCTCTTTCTTTAAACATTCGACGAATATTGAGAGATAAGAATAGGCGGTGTCAAACATCCATTCAAACTACCACTATTGTAGGGATGTCCTACCCCAATGGAACACTTAGTCTCATTAAGGAACATCTTTGCATCTGACACACGTCTTTAAAAACGCAGCATCAATTATGAGAAAATTGTACTTATTTGATGAAGTAGTGTACAATATATAATAATTTTTAATTTACATTTAACAACCCACATGTCCAGCTAAAAAAAGCTTTTTAATCCCCAAAATAATAATTCAAGCCATGAAAAGCAAAATTAGTGAAGTAGCAGTATTGGAGAATGCTCTTCATGTTTAGGACAAAATGCCTCATGATACCGAAAGCCCAGGTAGAAATACACGTACATACGTAAAGTAATTTATATTCATTTTTTAATGAGGATATCCTGGTGTAAAAAATATAAAAGGCTCTTATCAGAGAATTTGATTAATAAGTATCTGGAAAGCAACATGCCGGATGCCTGGTAACTTTATAATTTGAATTAATCTACCGATTGATTCTTGTTTCGTTCTGTAAGATTATGAAAGCAGTTCGTTTAACTTATTGACGTCACACAACGCTAGAGGAAAAAAAGCGCAACCTGAAAATGACACAATTAGAACATGGAGTTTAATTATTATTTGTAACCTTTCTCCATTAATTTGAAATAACATGGTAAATTATGAATACACGCAACCTGGTTCCCTGGAATGTTAAACAAAAGGCAAACTAAAACGTGGGAAAGGGCATTTTTTTCGTCCAGTCAAGTAATTTTATTAAGCCTGTAAATTTTACCCAAGGTAATTTTATAAGTCGACTCAGTCTAAAAGCAAGCTCCCTAGAGGTTATTAATAATAATTCTAGTTATTTGTGCACAAATATATTGTATTCTCACATTGATTTTAGGATGTGTTAAGTGGCAATGAATTATTTGACCTTCAGCTCACTACTTCACGTAGTAATCTGCATACTTCCGTTTTGCTATCCTTCAGTTGTATGAATATTTGCATGAATAACCGACAGCACGAAAACACTGCTGAGCTGCTAAAAAGATAACTTAGACATTCACGAACACCTGAAATTCCTATCATTCTTTCAGTTCATTGGCGAAGTTGTGAATAATACGCATGCTGGGAAAAAATTGTAACCATTTGCCATGATCATGGATACCACCAAGATAACCCAATGGTCTTAATTGGTGATTCACCATTTTAGGAACAAAAGTCAGGCTTATTTGTAGACTTGTCTATCAACTCCGAAAATATGGTGCAGAGGACCTTTTTAAACTGGCTATCTTGAAATTTTGTAAAGGCCCAAGATTACTTTTTCACATTAAAAATCGGATATTTTTATCTGGAATAGCCTTTCTAAAACGGGAGAAGGACAGTAGGAGGTGGAGGCAAGTCATAAATACCAATAAGCTATTCGGACAAAATTCATTAAAATCATAACCTGCGTAGCTTGGTAAAATAAATTAAATCACTCTACCCATACATTAAAAAACGATTTGAGTCTCACTGAAATGACTCAACATTTGGTTTCAATCAATCCATTAACATATAGAAACGAAGATGACAACCGATAAAAGTAAAAGCTGACATTGGGCAGACAAG